AAGCTCTTACAAATCCTTTTCGGGAATTCATTGCCTAAGTTGGAAATATATATGCAAACGGAAAGAGCTAATGGGCGCATCTTGCAGAAACAACCATTAGAAATCATACTGACATAAAAGGCCAAGGTCAGGGCAAAGGCCTGCAGATCCCCGTGACATGTCTGCAGGGGCTGGGTCAAATGAGGCGTTTCATTTATTAAAAGTATATGTTCCTTGGCTAAGTGAGGATGCTGGGTTACGAACATATTGATGCCACAATGGGGTCAGGTCAAGGCCATTCCATAGGTCAGCATGATAATTTGGTGCATTCATGTGGCACATGATTCAAAATATTTTCACATCCATTTTGCTCGCGTTATGCAGCCTAAACGTCAGCCACAATTATTTCTGGTCAGTACATGCTCAAGATGTAGGTAAGATGTCAAGATGAGATCATACGAGGTCAGCATGACACACGGTGGGCTAGTTATGTCATGCATGTTTCCGGATTGCCTATCCCACAGGAATCCAATACAATCACCTTTCATCTTGCATCGGGTCATGTAAGTTCCTAAAGAGATCAAAACCCGCTGTTTATCAGAACCTACGCTGACTTTTGAAAGGCATTCAATAGCCATGGGCAGGCTAGGGAGATTGATTTTCAACCTGCTGTATAAATAGCTGCCACTCTGTTCATGCCTTGTTTGGAATGCAGATTTCATAATTTGCCAAGGGGAAGAAGTTCCAGAAGAATAAAGGAAAGCGAACTATTTCGTAGCAACTAGACATTGCTCAGCACACAGATCACCTTCATTTATGCATGAATAACACGCTCTAACGCATGATGCCCTCAATACCAACAGCAGCCACACAATGCCCTTATTCTAAACATCAACGACAATGGAGACTAAGTAAAGGACCTGGTCACAGCACCCCATTTCTATGCAGCATGCACAGTTCTTACTATTGGTGGCTTGTGGCACAGATGCTTGTCCAATATCCACGCACAACAACATAATCTTCTGACAGCGCTTCCCACTGTTAGGATAGTGGACGCCCCCCTTTCCATGCCTCCCTCTTAGGCACCTGTCTCTGACAATTTCATTGCAGGTCCCCGGGCACATCTAGGCAAAAAGGTTGAGTGCTAGAGTTATCATCAGCTTTCATGGGAAGAACTAGCCTTTGTGATACCTTTGATATAATTGGACTCATGCCACAAGTTATTAAGCCTGGACTTCAAAGCATGTAATGGAATGGCGGCAAAAGTTCCATATCTGATCACTTTCATGGAAATTATTTCTCCTTCTGCACATAACGCTGCTTATTTGCACCTGCACACCTAAGGAAGATGATGTGATGATGAAAAATTGATGTGACATGGGATTCAGTCCTCAACAACTATGATATGTAATCAGATATGACTGCAACTTAGCTCTATCCATAAATATTCACAGCATTATAAGGTTTGCTAGCTGTAATTAATGTCAGGCTAATATTGCATGCCTCCAAATGCTTTCAACAAAAATAAAAAAAAACAGAGGCTAGATATGTGAGTAGTGCCAGGATTAATTGAAGAGATGCATCACAATATAATAACAACAATATGGTATATTTTGTACCACCTGGTCCATACAAGTCTTTGCAAATGCAGCCATAGAAACACCTCACACATACATACACCCACACCCACACACCCCCCCCCCCCCCACACACACACGCACACGCACGCACGCACGCACGCACGCACGCACGCACGCACGCACACACACCCACACTCACACCCACACCCACACCACACCCACACCCACACCCACACCCACACCCACACCCACACCCACACAAGCATAGCACCAGACAGTGGGCAAGACACTCACAACTCGCTGCAACTACCGGCCCAATGCCACCTCACACTAGAATCATGAAAATAGAAGAACCTGCGCCTTTAACGTTATCAACAGGTTTACATACGGCTACTGTACACACAAGCTGCATTGTGCATAGCACGCTTCTTTAACTTTCGTGCATAATACAGAAAAGCTTTGAACACATCACAATTAAATCCAACAGGCGCTGCCTCAATCCCCCACAAAACATCAATAAAGTGAACTGAGCAAAAGTAAACAACATGCAGCGACGTCAGTCAAGGTTGGTGAAATTATTTTGTCTCTTCCGCGCCATGCATTTGGCACTTGACAAAACTGAACCTATGAAATATGGCGATACGCAGGGATGACAGGGGGCTGAGTTTGGCCTAGTTTCTTCTCAAAGTCTGGGAGCTGCCCCCCCAACTCAGTAGCGAAAACTCCACTCCCGGTCAAGGACCACCTACTCATCCAGAAATGGGGGCGTTGACATATGCACAGATCACTCTATGATGCGGCGAATGATCACAACACTGACAACTGTTTGCTCCTGTAGAAACAGAGGCGCACGCCAGTTAATGACGCAGCCGGCGGGGCAGGAGTTTGCCGGAGTCGATAGTTTCCAATTGTTTGTTTGTTCAGGCTGATTGTGCGATTGTGTCAGACTAAACCCACCGTTGCCCTTATGCTCCAACCAGCACCAAGCAGTACCAGTGCTCTACTCGGTGACCAGGCCCTTGATGAATACATGACTTGGTGCACGGGACCCGAGAGCGCGGTCGGTGGTGACCCTATCAGCGGCCCGTTCGGGGGTCCGCTTTTCCGTTTTCTCAGGACCTAGTGGCCCGTTCTTTAGTCCGTTCTACCGTGGACCAGAGACCCGGCGGCCTGTTCAGTGTGGTCCGTTCTCATGTGGATAAGGGACCCGGTGGTCCATCCATTGGTCTATTCTGTCTAGATCCCAGGTGCCAGTGGTCCGCCCGGTGGTCCATTCTTCTGTGGTCCGCCCGGTGGTCCATTCCCCCGTGGTCCAGAGACTCGGCGGCCCGTCCGGTGGTCTATTCTGCCGAGGTCCCTGGACGCAGTCTCCCGTCCGGTGGTTCGTTCGGTGGCCTATTCTGTCGCGGTCCCAGGGCGCAGTCTCCCGTCTCGTGGTCCGTTTTCCCGTGGTCCTGGCACCCGGTGGTGCGCGGTCCCGCCCGGCGGAACAGGTGTCCGTGGCTTCGGACGCGCTCCTCCGGGCTCAATAGGCGTCCCCGTCGTAAACGGTGCTCATCAGCGCGCCATCAATTTGGCCGTGACGTCACGGTGATTTGAGGGGCCGGCCGGGCGGGCCGCCGGCGGACCGACCGCGTATCTGTGCGGCCATCTGCGAACGGCACTGATCGGCGGCGTGTTTTACCGACTCCCAGACTGGAAACGGTCCGGACTGGTGCGAGAGAGCCAGGGAAGAGAGAAGAGAGAGGGAGAGGAGAAAGAGAGTGAGAGAGAGAGAGAGGGAGAGGAGAGAGGGAGGGAGTGATTGAGCGAGAGGGAGAGGAGAGAGGGTGTGAGTGAGCGAGAGGAGAGAGGGAGTGAGTGAGCGGGAGGGAGAGGAGAGAGGGAGTGAGTGAGCGAGAGGAAGAGACGAGAGGGAGTAAGTGAGTGAGAAGGAGAGGAGAAAGGGAGTGAGTGAGCGAGAGGGAGAGGAGAGGGAATGAGTGAGCGAGAGGGAAAAAGGAGAGAGAGTAAGTCAGCGAGAGGGAGAAGGGAGAGAGAGTAAGTGAGCGAGAGGGAGAGGAGAGGGAATGAGTGAGCGAGAGGGTGAGGGGAGAGGGAGTCAGCGACCGAGAGGGAGAGGGGAGAGGGAATGAGTGAACGAAAGGGAGAGGGGAGAGGGAGCGAGTGAGCGAGAGGGTGAGGGGAGAGGGAGTCAGCGACCGAGAGGGAGAGGGGAGAGGGAATGAGTGAACGAAAGGGAGGGGGGAGAGAGAGCGAGTGAGCGAGAAGGTGAGGGGAGAGGGAATGAGTGAACGAAAGGGAGAGGGGAGAGGGAGCGAGTGACCGAGAGGTGGTCACGTCCTGGGCCCTCTTGGCCGGAGAAGTAATGCACCGAGAGCGGCTCAGTGGGCCAACGGTCAGGCAGACCACGCCTTCACACTGTCATGGCACGACGTTTAGATGGGGGCACATTAAACCGCCGCCGCCCGGCCGGTCGCCTCATCGTACCCACAGCAGAGGTGAAAGCCTCGTCACACTCAACGCTCAATGAAAACGCTATGGCTTGTGCAGATTTGAGGTGGGAACAGGCTGACCAGGGGGTAAGAGCTGGGAGTAGGCTGAGACAGCGACATCATAAGGCAACACGGCACGCGGCGTGCGTCAATGTAAGTTCATGGTCTCTTGAAACGAATGTTGGAGATATCTCACGCGAGATCATGAGGTACATATGAAATTCACACCAAGCTCGGATCATGGCTAAGGGGGACACCACATAAGCCATGAAGTCAGATTGAGCCAACGAAGTTTCTTACTTCATAGCAAGCGTCTCACCCCGTGGCAGGGCACTGATCCTGCGTTCGTCCTGCCATCCGTCCGACACGTGCAAGCTGTCCAGATCGAAAAAACGCATGAGGGTATGACTTCTCAGCAAAACGCGCAGACAGGCTGGTTAGGATTATTCATCTGCACTATGAGGTTCTTATGGGGAGTGGGCTGGGGCAGAAAAAATGTAAACACTCCGACGGAAGGTATTTGCCGGGGTTTAACCAAGCATGAGTTGAAACGATGAATTTACCGCACCCGTTTTAATTGCAGGTTTGGTAAGCACCCAAGAAGAATGGGAAGAGAAGGCTCTTATTAGCACACTTCGCTGTCCCCATTACGCCTTCCAAATCACATAAACAAGCCTTCCACTCGACGCCGGTCTCCTCCCTATGGGACCCAAAATTACAATTACAAATACCTGGACGAGATTCGCTACAAACACGCAGGCAGGCGAAACGCGTGCCAGGTAAGGAGAACCCATTTGAGCGGCGGTCCGGTGGGGCCGCCGGCCAGCGCACACAAACACGGAATGCTAATTAAGAATCGGACGTGGCGCATGGGAGAGCGGGGGGAGCGAGATGGTTGGAATTTTTATGTGTCACTTTACAAGTCCGCGCGGTGTTTTATGGACGCTCAGGTGACCACTCCGACGGCGGTGGGCCGCGAGACAGCCTGTGAACCGCGCACCGACGAATTAATTACGCAAAATGAGCGGATATCTCAGCAGAACGCATTCCTGCCCCACTGGACGCCGCCAGCTGCCGGTCCGAAGATGGAGGCCGCCGTCCGGGGCGGTGGAGCGCCGAGCGGCCGCGGTGCCCGGCGAGCGCAGTGATGAGTCCGATTGTGGGCGTCAGCGGCGGCGGGCGCCGGACAATGCCGGCCGCGCGGCCCTCCTTTCAGCGGCGGCCGCGCGGCCCGGGGAAACTAGATCCGTCGGTGGCAGGTAACAGGAGGCGCGGCCGGGCGGCGGGCCGGCCGGCCGTGCGCTGCCCCGTCGCACCGCCTGCTGTCCGGCGCCCGTGCTGGCCCGACATCCAGGCAAATGGCTGCTGAGAAGGCGCGAGGCGTTGGAGTGCTTGACGTGTGTGCTGGGGAAAAGGTGAAGCTTTCACACTATTTGGCATGCGATCAATTTTTGCAAGAGCTTTAAGCTGCAAGGTGCAAGAGGCAGTCGGTAATATGGTACAGTTCATCATGAGGTTGACAACATTTCAACGGGCTGATAAGAAAATCCGACCGTTGCAATTAAAAATGCTTTGATAGGCAGCGTTAGCCCTTGTGATTGGGGTTAAAGACGCGGCATGTTGAAGTGTTGGGTGGTCTTACAGGCAGGCTGATAACTCCAGACCAATAGCTAAACGATAGCATAAATGACCTGGGATAAGACCGTGAAACTAAAAAAACAGTCATAGAATACCACAAGGGAGAAGCCAAGAAGGTCCGGTGTGGGCACTTGTGCCCATGTCAAACGTCTTATGGTGAACATTGAGTTTGTTCTGCCTACCAGCAGCTTTCGTGATGGCGTGATTGGTGGACGTCGCGATGGAGGTTGGACGATCCCACCGTCGCGATGGAGGTTGGACGGTCCCATCATCAACCTACATCGCGAGTGCTGGCTGCTAACAGCGCATTGGCTACAGCCCCGTTGGCCGCCATGCTTCCGCCATCAGCGTTCCGAAGACAATTACGGGTAGTGCTCGCAAGTGGTCGTAAATGTTCGTGTGCAAGGCATAAATTGATCGCAACGTTAAATACTCCATGGCAATTACTATGATGAACCGCAGTTCACGGACTGAAAGATCCACAAACCTATGAGGTGTGAATCTAGCCAGCAGCCACCACCAAATATACGACCATATTGCAAAAGGCGTGTGTGCCTAAGCAATGCATAGGTTCAAAACGTAAGTGTCACTAAAACTGGCGGTCCAGAGCTCCACTGACATTTGTTGCAGTTCGGTCCAAACGCTGACATCCCTACTAACCCAGGAGAGATTTGAGAATAGCGACATACATTTATTATAAAATCTACTGTACACAGCATGTTCAGAGGCAATGTTCTTTGAACTGTTTACAATGTACAGTGAAGCCTGCGTCGTTGTCGTAACTCGTTTATAACGCATGAGATCAGACAATGCTAGATGAGAATGTACATCACGATACGGACCCACGCTTGAACTAGCTGATCGGTCCACGGTCACAACACACACATAAAATATATCCAGCTTTTCGTAGCCAGAACGCGTGGCCGACGCAGCGCGCACAGGGTTTACACGGGGAGCACGGGGTTTACACGAGGCGCACGGGTTTACACGGGCAGAGGTGCCTCGTCCGTACATACATTGCACGGGGTTTGATAACAAGTCAGTCGGGGCGTCAGTTATATCAAAATTCAACACGAACAAGCAAACTGTTAAGGAGATAAAAACAAAGCGCGGATACTGGCGCGCAGACGCGCAGCGTCACGCACGCAGAGATGGCACGACAGCGTGACGAGCGAGAGCCGTCGCCGACGGTGCGGTCAGTGCAGCCCAGCGAGTAAACGGTGCAAGCGACAGCGTGCTCGGCGCATCTCGGAGCGCAAACGAACCCAGTGACGTCACTGACATCCTCATGACGTCACAAGGGCAACAGCCAGCTCGCGCCCGGTCCGCCGCGTCGCGCGCGAGTATTCCGCGGTGTCAAGCACGGCCCTGAGACTGCGGATAGCTCTCGAACAAAACAACGGCGCGTTTGTACAGGGACGGCGCGCGGCGCGGTCAGTACGCGCTCGTGGTGGGGCAGCAGGTGCGCCTGCGGATGGCCGCCGATCGGCGAGTGCTCGTTGCTGGGCGGCGTCGGCATGCCGGTGGCGTTCTGCGAGATGTACCACTCGTTGAGGTTGGTCTGCTGCAGACTCGAGGTCAGCGAGGTCACGGCCGCCGGCGGCGAGGTCAGCGACGTGGGCGAGCGCAGCGTGGACGCGTTGGTGGCCGAGGACGAGTCCGAGTCGTAGCCGCTGACGTCCTTGCCGTGCACCTTCATGTGCTTGCGAAGCGAGCTGGGGTGCGTGTAGCTCTTGTCGCAGCCGCGCACCTTGCAGTTGTACGGCTTGTCGGACGTGTGCACATGCGAGTGCTTCTTGCGGTCGGAGCTGTTGGCGAAGCGTCGGTCGCAGCCCTCGTACTCGCATCGGAACGGCTTCTCGCCTGCGACAACACAGAAGGCGGGGTCAGCTGTGGCGGTGGCGGCAGCGACGGCTCGTATCGATGGCGCCGGCTGTCGGCGGTGACGCGCCCCACCTGACCGGCGCCGCTCCAGACAACAGCTGAGTGACGGAAGAGGCGGCGGCGCGCGCGCGGCCAGCACGAAAAATAAACACCATGTGCGACCCGAGCACTCGCTGGACCGGCGCCGACCGGCCGCCGCTCAATGGCATCTTGTTCGAATACTCAGTACTGTGACCAGTCTATCAAATTCTATTCAGCCGTTGCTGTCCATTCAGCCGGCTGAAAGCGCCTTGATTCGGTGGCCCATTGTCCGGGGAGGAGCACACGCGAGTTTCGTTTCGTTTTGGAGGTTCGGCCCGCCCACCCGACAAAGAGGAGACCCTTTGTGCCCGGCGCGCGGGACCCTCGACAGGGTCATGTTTTCCGGGCCGCTTTCATGGGTCTACCTGTTTTCAAAACGCGGCCGGAGCGTCGTCACCGATCTGGTGCGGCGTTAAAAATAGCCGGCCGGTCGGTCCAGCCGCGACGGACCCGTGGATCCTCTCGACGTGCCGACACCACCAGCACAGCGGGAGTGTCCAGTCAAGAGGGTAGCGCCACCGGCTGGACCGTGCCCGTGTCCATAGCAGTGCTGAGGTTTTGGAGTGATTTAGACGGGATGTATGTAACTGACGCAAAGGCGGAGCAAAGTACGAATGCTACTGCGGCAGCACAAAAACCAAAATACCCATGCCAGTAGGGTTACAAGCCAATAAGCCCGTAGTCGACAGACTCTCAGTCTGCATGGGCGTAGGCACCCTCGTGCACCATCAGCTTTACGATCATGACCCTACTGCCTGGGAGGCCGTAAATCTTTTCCCGAACCCCGATAAGGCGACTCCAAGCAGACATATATCATTCCTCTCATCTCTCACACGACGACCGAGAGCCTCGCCCCACAACTCATATCATCACGAATAATCCGCCATCGCAGGCGCTGAAAACCCTCGCTCGCCTCGCGCCTCTGGCTGGGATGAGGATCATCCGCCTGCGTCTCGCAGTCCAATCCCCTCCCTCAGCGCCGGTGGAGACGAGGAATCCCGCCCCCGATCCGTGCGCTCCAGCGCAGAGGACAAACACAATAATAAGATGTCACCGGGCAAGCGGGCGCGCAGCTAAGCCCGGCCGCCATCGCGTCATGATTACAACACTCCACTCGGGTCACACTGAAATTCCGACAAAGCGCTGAATGGGGGAGGAAATGAACAATCGGTATTAGGTGCGCGCGGCCGGCGCTCAAAGCGCGGTGGAGGTGTGCGGCTCGCCGCGGCCGGCTAAGGCGATTTACGCCGGCCGCCCTGCCGCCGCGAGGACGAGTTATCATAGCGCGGCGGCGGCGGCGGCGGCGCGGCGGCGCGGCGGCGGCGGCGCGGCTGCGCGACGCGGTAAACACGCCCGTTTATCGCCAGCGCGGTGGAGCACGCGGCTGCCGAGGCGGCGGCGGGGCGCGTCTCTGATTCGACGCTGGGGCCGCTGGGGTCATCCGCGGCGCGAGCACACCCGCGGGGATGACGGGAGACCCAGGGCATCTCACAGCAAAATGTTTGCGACCGAATCCATCAATGTGAGAAATTAGGCGATGGAGCCTGTACTATTTCCATTTGGGCGTCCGTCCCCATAGACCGGGCCGTGCCGGCGGAGGGGGGGGGGGGGGGCGTCACGGAGCACGTCGCACCGATCGATCAGAAGGCTTCAGAGCGCTGAAAGAGCCGCGGTCTTTCCAACAGCTGTGGTGGAATGTACGGCGGGCGAAGAGCGGCGGCGGATATAGGACAAGGCGGCCTACCGTCGGACCTCATCCTCACAGCATCGGCTGCCCACGCTGGCGCCACTGCCGTCGGTGCCGCGGCGCTATGCTCAGCTGTCGCACGCTGCCGACGGCGACGGCGGCGGCCATTGAGGCGGCGTAAGTCCCACCTAAGCCGGCCGTATTGATTGCGCCGGCCGTGTCAGATATTGTGGGCTTTGCCGGCGTCGCCGGCGGCAGTGGCGGTGGCGGTGCAGCGCGACTCCACGGCCGCCGCCACAGGCCCCGGCCGGCCCCGCCGACTCACCACTGCCGGCAGCCGATTCGAAACAGCCGACGCTGCGGACTGCCGCCCCCCGGGCGCTCATGGGCTGTCCTGACGCGGGCTCCGGTTTTGAGACGTCGCGACCGTCGTAAACTTGAATTAGGTGACCGGGCCTTTAGCCGGCGGCCGCCGCTCGCCGCTGACATAAAGCCATCGGGAGGGTTTAGTGTCGGGTGATGCGGGCAGCGTCTCGCGAGCCTGTCCGGTCGGCCGGTCGATGGGCGATCTCGCGCCGCCCCGGCGCGGTACCGTACCGCCGCCACCGCCAGATTTATTCGGAATGCCGGACCGACCGCCGTCTGACCGCCGGCCGCGATGAAGAGGTATGATTGAGCCAGATATTATGGATTTACGCCCGTCGTTAAAGTCCGGACCGGACAACATGGGGAGCGTGCAGCGTGGAAGGCAACGCCCTCGCCGGCGCGTCGCCGTGGCAACGGCGCGGCCGCGACGATTGCGCACGGACGCTGAACGGTCCGCCCACGCGACGACGCTGTACATGCGCTCCGTACCGGCGCGACGGCCGCACGAGCCAGCCGCGCGAGCGGCCGTCCGCCGTCGGCTGACGCGCGTCGACATTTTTGTGTGACAACAGAGAGGACGGAGATGTATTCTCATGGGCGCGATAGTGCCATAAGGGGCATATTTCTGCTGTCATTGGGCGTCCCACCGCGCTCCGTCCGGGCGGCGCGGGGCAGCGGCGGCCGGTCGGCCCGCTCTGGGCGGCGGGAGCGTGCCCGCTCTGGGCGGCCGGTCGGCCCGCCCTGGGCGGCGGGAGCGTGCCCCGCTCTGCCCGCCCGCGCTGTCCGCCCGCCCCGCCCCGCCCCGCCCCGCCGCTCACCCGTGCAGCGTGTGAAGAGTTAAATGATACTGGCCGCGCGCCGATCGGAATGGCCCGCCGGCGGCCGGAGCGCGGCCCTGGCCGGCCCATAAGTCACAGCAAATACCGGCCGTCAGCCGGGAATGCCCCGCTATGTCTCGGTCAGGGGAGAGGGCCGGCCGAGGGTGGGCCCGCGCGCCATTAAACCTGTTATCAAAACGTTACCGGGACGACTGGCGCGCGCGCGCCACGTTCATTAATTAACGCCCGTATTTATGGCGGGTAAGGATTTGTTTGCGGTCGGAAGTGGCGTGACGGCGGCACGTCTGGACGGGCGCGGCTGTCCGGCCGCTGTCTGCAGCGAGGCGCGTCCGCCGGCCGCACTCATTGGAATGCATGGGCCCGAGCGGCGCGCGTGATTTATACACGCGGCGCTCTCGAGCTGCGGGCGCGGCGGTCCCGGCCGCCGTCGGCCCGCCGCCGGCCGGGCCCGGTCATGACCGAGGTGGGCAGGGATTTGGCCTGCCACGACCCGGTGTCAGGGTGTAAGGCCGCCGCTCCTGGTGCCAGTCCGGAGAAGCGTGCCCCGCTGCCAGGCCACGACCCGCCAGCAGATGTCAGCTCCGCGAGACAAAGGCATCGGAGAAACGGACAGTGTCGCTCAGCTCGTGACTGAGGTGGAACAGACTGAACCCCGCCCCCAGGGCGAGTCAGCCTCAGCGGCGGCGGCGAGCCGGCCCACCCTGCCGAACCTGGGACGCCACTACAGGGGCCACTCCAGCTTCGATCAGCTGGATGGGGGATGAGGGGGGGGGGGGAGGGGAGGGGATCTGCAGCCCCGGACGTTGGCGATTCTAGTCGGGAGCCGGGAGCCGGGCGGTCGGAGACGGGAGGCCATCTGCGATGAATGACAGCCAATAAACGGCCCCGGCGACCGACCGCCGCGGCCTGTGCTCAATATACCTTGGGTGACGACCATCGCCACAGCCAGGCCCTTGCAATAAAACTATATTATGCTTTCGTTCATAAACGCGCTGGACCAAGGCCAGCTGAAGGGTTATTTTACGACCCGAATTACATTAGCCTTGCCGAGTTCGACGATTTACAGAGCCAACAGTGTCATTTTTCTTGGCGGCGGGCCCAGCCGAAATCCCAGTTTTGTCTAAATGGCTTAAACAGAAGCCGTAAGATGGCCGGCTAGCCGCTAATCCCATTACTGGTGGCGTGTTGTGGCTGCCGACATGCAACCGGCGCATTAGACCGCCGCGCCGCCCCATGTTATCCCAGGAGCAGCAGGAAGCCGGCGGGCCGGGGCTTCCGCGCCGAGTTAGACGGCTGGCACCTGGGGCCGACCCCGGGCGCCTGCCCCCGCCGGCGCAGTCTCCGCCGCGTTTGCCGCAACCGCGGTCTGCAGGCGACGATAGCATCGCGGCAATCACGCCAAACACGGCGCGATCGCGCGCCGGCACGCCGCGCCGTGTAGAACATCACGATCCGCGCGCCACGCACCCCGCAGATGTATGGGCTTAATTTATTCATAGTATGTGGGAGGCGGCCGGACGCGCCCGCGCCGCCCGCGCGCCTTGCTCGCAGCGGCTGCGCCGGCCCCGCCGCCGCGCGGTATTTTCGTCGCGGACGCGGGTTTGTGATGCAACAGCCGAATGGCATTGATGCTGGCGCGCATTGACGCGTTGAAGTTACCTGACGTGCGGCACAGCCTATGCGAATGCCCTGAGGCGGAGTGCGGCACCGGAGACTGCAGCGCCCGCCGCGCGCGGGACTGCTGCGCTCTGGGATGAGGCCTGCTCTCCGCGTCCGCGGCCGCTTCCACTCGCTCTGTCCCACGGCTAACAAAGGCGACGAGTCGTGGGACTGCCGCCGCCTCGGCCGCGGCTGACGGCATCGAGTCTGCGTGAACTCACACACACACACACGCCCGAGGCTCGCCCAAACGCAGCGCCGTGCCAAGAACAATGCCCTGAGACGAGCGGTTGTTCGCAAGAACCCTTTACCGAGGAGACAGAGGATTACATTGATGCCCGTGTTTATTTGGCTACGGTGTGAGTTTGGGTTAGTTGTCAAAACACGGTTGGGTGCCCTCGCCCGGGGCCGGCTGTGTTGATGCTGCCGGTGTCGCTATTCCGGCGCGCCGGGCACGCTGAGTGACGCGGGAAGGTCGCGGCTGACACACGAGATTACGCCGTCGTCGCAGTCGGAGGCCGGGTGTGCGGCGGACCAGCGGCGGCCGACGAAAACCGGTCGGAATCCGGCCGCAAACCTGCCGACGTTGGCAGGACCGGGCGGCCGACTGAGGAGCCAGACCGCGCGGGATTGAGCGGTGGGCCGACCCAACCAGACCGGCCGACCCACACGAACAAATCGCACTAACTGACTTCGTCGCGACGCGTCGTTTTTCAGGCGGCTCTATACGACCGATGATGCGCCTGCCCTATCCAATCTCCTATGAACTTGCCGTCGTTCATCCGAGACGAGAAAAATTCAAAACGCTTCCAATTATTCCCCGGTCGATGATCAATGGTAAATTAAACATCATTGTCGAAACAAGGCAACAAAAACGCATCATTTATCACCGGGCGCTGGATCGATCATTTGATCATTGACATGCCACGGCCAGGCGGCTGCGAGGGAGACGCTCTAAATAGCGCGAGCGGCGGGCGAGCGAGCGCCGGGCCACTCGCTGAAGCGGCGCCGGCGAGGGCTCCGCTCCAGCGGCCACCAGCAGGCGCCGTCGGCCTGGGGCTAGCCGCCGCGCCTACGCGGCCCATACGCAGCGCACCATCCAACAGAGCCCAGAGACAGACCGGGATGACGTGCATGACGATAAGTTTCACGCGCAATATACGTGCCAAGCAGATGAGCAAACACGCATCAGTCGAAATAAAAAATACTTCTGTGAAGATCCCAAGACGTTTTGAGCTTCCACGGCGTAACGTCAAACGCATCAAATAATTATCAACCTTCAGCTTGCCGTCGTCGCGCCCCAGCCGTCAGCTTGCCGTCGCCGATCCCCAGCCGTCAGCGGCGCGGCGGCAGCGGCGTCCAGCGCGTGCCGCCGAGCCGCTGTAGCGGCGGTGGCTGCGCCGACCGCGCGCCTGCCGCCGAGCCGGCGGTGCGCGGCTCCAGCACCGCGGCGGCAGCGGCTCGCTCAGCCGGCACTGAGCGCAGCCGACGGGCGCCAGCGGCGCGGCAGCGCTACACATGTACCGACAGGTGATCGGTAACGGCGCCGGCTCCTGTCTGCCGGCCGGCTGCCATATCCGGCGGCGGCGCGCTGCCAGATCCGGCGGTGCCATGATGGCCGGCCGGCTCGGGTGTCGGCCACCGGAGCCGGAGCCGGAGCCCAAGCCGGGACAATGGCCGGAGTCGGCGAGCGGGTGGAGCGGGATTGATGGGAGATGGGAGACGAGACTCCCTCCCGGAGATTAGGGAACGGGTGGGGGCAGAGGTGGATGGGGAGGGAGTGGATGGAGCAAAAATGGGTGGGGAGGGAGCAGGTGGGAGCGGTAATGAGGGGGGGGGGGGAGCGGGTGGGAGCACATATGTGTTGGGAGGGAGCGGGTGGGGGCGGAGATAGGTGGGGAGGAAGCAGGTGAGAGGGGAGGTGAACAGCAAGGGAGGGAGCGTATAGAGGCGGAGATGGACGATGGGGAAGTAAACGTATGGGAGCTGTGGATGAGAAAGAGGGATCCAGTGGGAGCGGAGACGGGTGTGAAGGGAGCGGTTAAGAGCGGTGCTTGGAAGCGAGGGAGCAGGTGGGAGCGGAGATGGGTGTGAAGCGGGTTGGGTGGGAGCGGAGATGGTGGGGAGGAGGCAGGTAGGAGCGGAGGTGGATAGCGAGGGAGGGAACGGATGGGGCGGAAATGAACGGTAGAGGAAACGTGTGGGA